TATGGTGAGGCAGAGGCTGTATCCCTCCCACCCTTAGTAGAACGCGATGGGGGAGGGGCGGAGGAGGAGCCCTGGGAGGGAAGAGTTAACGCTTAAGGCCAGCCACTCAGCCCATTCCTGCAGAAGGGCGGAGCTGGGGGTAGCGGGAGAGGCGATCTTTTCCTGGAAAACTTTAGGAAGCCTGGGCCCCTTCCTGGCTGGATCTGGGAAGCATACACGACCTGATTTCCTTCCACACGACATCAGCTTGGGGGAGGGTGAGCCAGCAAAAGCGAAAATGTCCAAGCTGGAAAGACGAGCTGGGAACCTCGCCTGGGGAGCATCCCATATCCGCAGTGTCCCCAGAGAGGGGTTCCCAAGACCCGAAAGGGCCCAGGGGCCGAGGGAAAAACTAGCACCATCTGTCAGTACCCCAAATCAGGATGGCCAAGGCTGTCAAAAGCAGGAATGACCATAGTGGCCTGGATAGGGCATGTCCCATCTCAGCCTTCTGTTAGCGCAAGATAGAGCGAGGTTCAAGGGGGAAGGTCTTCTCCCAAGACTGAGACCTCTTTGCATGGACCCACCTAGGGAAAAGGGAGACAGCCCAAAGCTGAATTAGTTGAATTTTGAACTTGGAAAGTCTGAAAATTCACGGACATATCTGAGTTGTCCTAGAAGTAAGTTTTCTGCCATCGGCAGGAGGGGAAGCTAGAAAGAATCCAGTCACTGGGAAATAAAGAGTTGGGTTGTGAAATACCATCTGCTTTGCTTGTATGATTAATTTTATGAAACCTCTCATGAAGAATTTCAGGTGCATGGAACAGGAAATATTGGAAATTTATTTTACAGAACTGAGGTCTTGCAAGTTAGGTTAACATGATGAAGGTGGCATCTGAACTTATTGAAGTTTAATTTCACTGTCTCCAGGATCTATGATGGTGGGATCCACAGACACAGAATCCAAGTAAGCAGTGAGTTGAGAAAATAGCAAGAAGAAACAGGAGCCCTAGAAAAGCTTTGCAAAATTCTGAAAGCCAGCACACCTGGTGAATTCTCAGGGATTATCTGGTACAGGGTCACATTCAGCAGGAGGGGTAATGACCACCACACTAACCCCTTCCTCAATGGGAATAATGACTTGGAAAGTTTTTCCGGAGTAGGAAAAAGCATCTCTAGTTTTCCCATGGAAGTAAATGAGGACAAATAACCTTCAGAGAATGTTTTTTAATAGACAACTCCTCTGGAACAGAGCTTTGCAAGGACTCCCGGACTGTTCTTTGTTGTGGAGTCATGCACAATATGTTGGGCAATATTTAAATACAGAGCATTTGTGGGTCATCACCTGTCTGACTCAATTTCATGAGAAGTTGTGATGTTGGCTGACTCTGATTATGCGTAAGTGACCTCCCTCCACCCCACCCCACCCCCACACACACATGCACAGAGCTTTGGTGGGGAGCTGGGTGGTGGGCGGAAGAGTTGGCTCTGTTGTTCCATCCTGGAGACCCAAGCTCCCTATGGCCCTCTACAAGACTCTTGGCTAAGAAAAGCTCCTTATAACCCTAAGTGTGGTGATGCACAGGCAGTCTTCTTTGGGAAACTGCTATGACTGCCTCAAGCTCCCAGACTGAGTGACTTCGAAATGTATTTTCTCACAGTTCTGGAGGCAAGAAATAGAAGGTCAAGGTGTCCATAGGTCTGGTTTCCCATGAGGCCTCTCCTCTCGGCTCGTAGCTGATCTTCTCTTTTTGTGTCTGTGGCCAAATTCCCTTTCCTTCCTTCCTTCTTTCCTTCCTCCCTCCCTCTTTCTCTCTCTTTTTAAAGATTTATTTATTTATTTTAGAGAGAGAGCACAATGGTAGTGGGGGGGGAGGAGAGACTCTCAAGTAAACTCCCCACTAAGCACCAAGCCCGACACGGGGCTCGATCTCAGGACTCTAAGATCATGATCTGAGCCGAAACCTAGTCAGACGCTCGACTGACTGAGCCACTCAGGCATGCCCTCAAATCCCTTTCCTTATAAAGATACCAGTCATATTGGATTGGGGCTCACCCTAACAACCTCATTTTAACATAATTATCTATTTAAAAGCCCTGTCTCTAAGTACAGTCACATTCTGAGGTGCTGGGGGTTAGGCCTTCAACATATGAATTTTGGGGGCAACAAGCTTCAGCCCATAACACCAACTTTCCACACCCGAGGCTAAGAACAGTCAAACTTTATCCTGGGCCTACTTCTAGGAATTCAGATGAGATGAACCAACAAAACTCTTCAAATGTCACAAACAGTGAGTCTTGGCCCAGGAGAATCAGATATCAAAGTAATCTGGAGTAAACTAGAAGTATGTAGAAAGAAGAACTTTGTTGACATTTTATTTAGACTTTGCTTTGTTCCAGAAAGGACCTCAGGAAAGAGGAATCCCAGATTAATAAGGGTATAAAAGGCATGGCAAAAAGGAGACAGTCTGTCCTGTCTGCCCTTCTTCTCTCTCACTGCCTCCTCCCCCCACCAACCCTTTGGCTTCTGCACAGTCACCTTGCATTCCATCTCCTGATGGAACTAGAGTGTCCAATGAGGCTGCATCCTCAGGGTCAGGGTAGAAGGGACAGTTAAATAGTAGTTTTTCAAGGCAGAACACTGTGCTCTAGGGGTTTAACAAAGTAAATGTGATTTCCCAGGGCCTCTGAAGGAGGTAACGAGCGGACTAGCATACAAGTCATGATGGTGAAAGAACTATGTTGTTTCCACGGAGAATGGTCAGTAAAGCATGAGAAACTTGGATAATCTATTAGACAAGCTGATTTCAGTCTTCAATGATTAACAGATAATTACTAAATTCCTATTATGTGCCAAGCGATATGCTGATTACTGGTGAGCCAGTCTTTAATAACCAGAGCAAACACACAAGTGCCGAACACCTGGATGGGAACCCATATAATACCCCCAAAAAATCATCTTTTGAGGAACAACTGAAACTGAAGCAAAGAGACGATTATTTGTAATTTGCTCAAATCCACACAGCAAGGAAGAAACGAAGCCAATATTTTAACTTAGGAAAATCTGGCTGGCTCCAAACTTCATACTCCAAACCACATGATTCTACCTTAAGATATCTCAGAGTTAAGCAATGAAGTTATGAAGTCTTTTCCTCTAGATGTTTAGATAGAAAAGCTTTATCTGAAGATATAATTGAGCACTCAGTTTGGTCCAGGACGGCTGTGGGGGGGTGGTTCGGGGAGGGAGATGTGAGCAGAAAGGTGAGCCAAGAAGGCACCAAATAGAAATTTTGTTAACTTCAAATTTTGCTTGGTGTTGGAAGGGACCTCTCATGAAAATCAGCCATGAAGATCCACAGCTGAATGCATTTAGTTTTAAAGTAAAGCATTCAGAACATAGTCTTGTGTTTTTTCAGAAGTCTAGATCCATATCTTGAAAAAACAAAAACAAAAACAAAAAATGAGAACAAAAAAGATGGAGCAGATCATGCCTTTAGCTGCCCCCAAATGGCCTTTGTGGGAGCTGGGGCAATTCTCTGCCTAGTTTTCCAAGCTATTGGGCAAGGCTGGAGTGCAAACTAAAACCCTGACCAGCTCTAGCTTTCTAATTCTTTATTGTTTGCAATTTTCATCTCTTTACACCATAAACCTACCATTTCTCTACAAAATGTTTCAACATAATGTGCTCACAAAATCTAAAAACGTTTAATCCCATCGTTAGGTTGTGTAAAAGATGTACCAACAAGGCTCTTGTACAAACTCCCATGTTCTCCCAGACTGCTAAGTGACACTCCAGAATAATTTTATATGGGTCAGCATATTTTATAAAAGGGGAGGCAGAGCAGCTTATGAAATTAAACTCTTGGAAACTCGAGACACCTTCTCAGGAAACGTCTTGTATTTATGTTTCGGTGGTGCCAGTGTTCAGCAGCATTGAAGAATACAAGGTCGAAAAGGTCACTCCTCCTTACAAATAAAGACTAGTCACAGTTTGGGCTCCACATCGGAGTTCTGAGTTCAGACAAGTTTTTAAAACCCACTGTCACCGTAGTGTGTGGTTTTTAGCGGGGGTGAAGGCTTTTCGCTTGCATCCAAACATTTGGGAACACAGGCGCTTTGTGAGGGCGGGCGCCCGCGGGTGACCGAGCAGGAGGACAACCCCGGCGTCCCGTGGCTTTCGGCAGAGGAAGAGCAACCCGTTAGTTACTGAAGGAAACTCCTTCAGCCTGGCCGCCCCTCGGGCCACGTGCGCGCCGACCGCCTGGACCAGACCGGAGGGTCGGAGGCGCCCGCAACTTGCGCAGACGCATGGGGGCCCCTTGCATATCCGGTGCCCGGCTGGAGTCGTGGCCACGGGCGCTCACCGTCCCTATCCCGAGACCTTGCTCCAGTCCTGTTCCGGTGCTTCTGTCCGAGGCCCACAGTCCCCAGCACCCAACCTTCTCGCGGTACGGAGAGCGCGGAGAGGGCGGGGGCGTTCAGCGTGGAGCGGGCGGGGCGGGGCTTGGCGGGGCGGGGCCCGTCTCTGGGCGGGGCCTAACGGAGAGACGGGGAGGGGCGCGACGGGGAGGGGCGCGGCTCTGGGAGGAGGGTGGGGCTAGGGGCGGGCCAGAGGTAGAGGGACCCGAAGCGAGGAGGAGCTGGGCTCCCCGTGACGCCGGAGTCCTCTCTGGGAGGGGCGGGGCTCAGTGCTGGGGGCGGGGCTACGGGCCGGAAGGGGGCGGGGGACCGACGCCTTGGGGGCGATGGGTGGGAGGTGCCGCCGAGAGAAGGGCGGGGTGGCGGGGTTAGGGGCGGGCCTCCGGACAGGGCCGGGGCGGGACGCGGGACGCTCCGCGCGGCTCCCCCCGCCGCGGCTCGCTCCCCGCCCTTCCCGCGGGCACAGCTGTGGAGCGGGTGGAGGCCGAGGCGCGGAGTGGCGGGACTGGAAGGAAGCAGTGCTGAGCTTGGCTTCGGGGCGGCGGGAGCCGGTGGTGGCCCGGCGACAAGGGCTAGAGGTGGCGGGGGCCGGCGAGGCCACGATGAAGCCGAGCAGCGAGGACGAGGCGGCGCCTGCGGGGGGCCCCTGGGAGGAGTGCTTCGAGGCGGCTGTGCAGCTGGCGCTGCGGGCGGGACAGGTGAGCGGCAAGGTCGTCCTCCCCCGCCCGGCAGGGTCCCAGCGAGCACAGTCCCAGCGGACTCGGCCGGGCGGCGCTCTGGGTACCCACTGAAAACTTCGCAGAGTCCGAGCAGAAGTCCTATGGGACGGGAAGGAGACCCTCCCGGGCTCGGGGCAGCCGGGCCCGCGCAGCGTGAGGCCGCGGGCTTAACGCCCCAGGGGGAGCGGCCCGCGGGTGCAGAGTGAGTCCGGCGAGGCTTGACCGCGTGCGGTGGGCGTCTGGTATCCGCGGGCCGAAGGTGCTGGGCCGTGATATGGTGAAAGAAGTCTTTGTGTTGGTTTACTGCACGGACCGTCCCTTTACTTTCTCCATCCCAGGAGACCGGAGAGGTGAGCACCTCTTTCTCCGGTGGCAGCCCCCCCCATGAAGCACGCCCGACACGGCCGCTGTCCTTTAGCAGTTAAATGAATGTCTAACTGTAGGTGACTTGATCTTTGCGTCGGAGAGAGTAGGTTAGAATATATAGACTAGGTAAGTAAGTCCTGGGATTTAAGATGCCCTCCTAGGCTTGAATGCCCAACCTGTTTGTTTTTAAGGACCTTTGAATAGATCCTGTTGCCAGGACGTGGGTGTGGTTACCCCCAGGTTTAAACCCCTGCCTCAGGAGATCTGGCGAGCTTGCTGTTTGTCTTTCCTCAAGCATCCCAAATCTGTACTTACTCAGGCCCATAGCTGCAAAGTGGTTCCAACTCAATGTTTGGAGGAACTTAACACTGACCAGGAGGAGGATGAAAATCAAGCAGCATAGCCAAAGAGAACCTGTGACTTGAGTTTGAAAAGGGAGTGCAGCTCCTCTTTTCTCACTTTCATTTTTGCACTTTGTTCTCCACCTTTTCCTCAGTACCCCAAGCAGTGCCGGACACATTGTAGGACCCAGGTCCTTGTGCAGTGAATGTGCGATGGTGGTTGTCCCAGGACCGGTCAGGGTCAAGCTAGAGTTGGGAGATGGCTTACTCCTGCCTTGTTAAGGTTTGTGATTGTGTTCTGGTGATCTGAAGAAGTAGTAGTGTGAGCAGATTGACTTTTTATATCCAAACAGCATTTTCTTTCTCAGGTCTAGCACTATGAAAATGCTCTGCTGGTTTTTCCTCGGTGTGAAAGTCAAGCTGTTACCAAGCCTGAATTTGTCACATGCTTGGTGGACAGTGCTTTACTTTGGTGTGAATCCTCTAATCCCCTTTAAAAGTTAGGTCAACACATGAGTAGACACATCTTGTGGGAGGGCCCTCCCTCTGTGGTTTGAAGGATGCCAGATTCAGCCTGTAAGGAAGGCAAGATTTAAAAGGTGGGTTGTGAAATTTCATCCCGTGGCTCTGTCTCCTTTCCTTCCTATAGGAAAAGGAGCCCCCCAGACCTTAAGTCCTAGAATGCGGAAGTTTGTAGCTGCAGGACAAACATTCTTCCTGGAAAGCAGATCCACTATGGGCAGAGAGCACTTGCTTTCCCCCTCCTTCCCTCTCAGGCCCCTCACTTCCTTTCCAGAGTGAGCATCATCAGGATATTTAGTAACTTTTAGGTTCTACCATAAAACTCTTCTTCCTTGAGGCTTTAAGGAGAAACCAGCTTAGGATTCTGACCCTACACGGTAAACCCTGGTGAGTTGTTATGGGTTTCTGCAGTATTTCAAATTTAAATCCTTGAAGAAACAGAAGTGTCTTTAAAACCTTTATTTTCTTGAACAGATGCTTATATAGAAGTGGCAATATGGCAGGCACAATTCTGAGGGTCTTATTAAGAGATATCTTAAGTTTTCACAGCTTGCCAACAACAAAAGAACTTTTTTTTGAGAGTGGGGGAGGGGTAAAATAAAGATTCTGCCATTAGGAGTCCAGTCAGGGAGCCTCGAGTCCTGGGCTCCCTCTTGGGCATTATGCGATGCTTCCTGCCTGCCGGGCACTGGAGGGGAGAGTGGCTGGAATGGTCTATGGCTGGAACAAACAGAAGCCACACAAGGTCATTGCAACCTGTGTAAAGTGGGACAGATTGTCTTAATAATGTTAAGGAATGGGGTGCTGATTGGAGAAAATCTGGCCTTTAGCCCAGAGGATAGACCAAAGAGGCATGAAAAGGTAGTTAGTGGGGATTCTTTTCTGAGTCTTCCTTAGCTAAAGGAGTATTTGGCCCAGTTACAGTGACCTTGTGACCCAGCATGCCCACCCCCTCACCAGTACCCAAAGTTTGGCCATTTTATTAAGTTTGTTCCTCTCAGCTGCTCCTGAGACAGTTCTATGTGCTGAATTCCTGAGTCCTGAGGGTTCTATATGCTGAAAGTAGTGTTGGGGGCATGGAGGGTGGGGAAGAACCTCCCAAGAGATAAATGTCGGTGCCCTTCATCTTTCAGACATAGGTTTGGGTCAGGGCAACCCTACACACTTTTCCACCACTGCCCCTTTACCCCATCCTGAGGTCTTCACAAAAGCCACCTGCCCCAAAGTGCTGCTCTTTCCACAGTGGCCTCCCTGGCTCCTTCTCCCTTGTTCCTTGCCTCTCCACCACCCATTCCTGCACCCATGCTGGGGCCACTGGAGCAGGTCTTGTGTCTCCCCATCCCCACCCCCGGCTGTGGGGCTTTGGGGAAGACAGTGACTTTAGTCCCACTGCTATCACCACCACAGGTACAAATGGTAATATTCATTGAAATGGGTGTTTATCATCTTTGATGTGTGAACGGAACTATCTTTTTTAGATTAAAAAAAATCTTTTTTAGATTAAAAAAAAACTATCTTTTTTTTTAGATAAAAAGCGGAAGTAATGCTTTTTCTCACTGTCCCATAGGAGTAGATCCAGGTTTTGTTGGGCCTGAAGCTTAGATAGTTTAGGAGCCCTCTTGAAGGGGAAAAAAAGAAAAAAAGAAAAAAAAAAAAAAATATATATATATATATACATATATATGTATATACACAAAATTACAAATTCAAAATTAGGTATAAACGTTATTTGGAATAAGAAAGATCATGACAGTATAAATTTTAAGATGCTAACCAATAAAACAAGATGCATAAAAATAATTCTTTAGCTGCTTCTCAATCTTCTCTAATGCTTTTTTCCCATTTTTGGCTTCATGCTCTTTGTGCCTTCGAATGACAAGGATTTTGTGGTATTTTTCCATAGAGCCAATAGAAAGATAAGTTCAAGTTGTCCTGTAGCACGACTAATTGAAATTGAGTATTGATAGTTTAGGAAAGTTTGTTTGGGCTTCACATTGATTATTGGGTAGGGTTATATAGATTCTTAGGATTGCCGTCAAATTTGAGAATCCTGTCAGTTTTCTTTTCTACGTTAGTTGGAAGAGATGGAAGACTTTTCTGGCTTCTAGCTCCATGTGGTTGCTTATTTCTTTCATGATCCCGTGTGCCAGTTGCCACAGCTCGTGCACACTCATTCTTCTGGCCCTGCCTTTCATGTCCCCAGGCCAAGTCAGTCGGCATGGTGGACAGTAGAAGCATTTCTGGAAGCCATTCCCACACAGGTTGTCTAATAATAACTTACAGACAGGTGTAACAGCAAGCCCCGCAGATATCTCCCATCAAGCCCAAGGTAAATTTCATCTCCACTCGCCTATAGCCAAAAATGCCAGGATCCACTCCAGTGCCACCCGACTCAAAATATAATGGAGGTCATGGTGGAAAGAGACAGTGCTTACATCTGCAGTTCGAACAGCTGACTTCTACACACTTGAAAAAGGCGTTCCCTGTGCTAAGGAGCTCGCAGAACCTCAGGGAGGGCCGCTGCAGCCTTGGAGCCCCAGCTGCATTGGCTTCACAGTAAATTCATCTCTGTTGACTGGTGGGAACAAAATCTTAGGACAGGACAAGAAAGTAGAAGCCCAGGATCCATCCTCACGCAGCGCTCTAGACCTCTAGGCTCTCCAGTTGGCCTTATGTACCCTGCGGGTACTGCTTCCCAAAGCCCGATCTTGAGAAGGCGGGGTGCCGTCCCCGCAGCCCCTGTGTGGACCAGCCCTTTGGCTGGCCAGACCGAACTACTTGGTGTTTTCAAAACACACACTGTATTTTCCTGCCTTTCTTCTTAAGCTCCTTGAGAACTGTAGCCTCCCTCCAGGGTTCGGTTCCCCAGCCCTTTCCTTCACGGCCCTTCCCAGGTGACCTTCCTCATTATGCCTGTGCCTGGTCTGGTTGGTGTGCTTTCCCTGCAGTGTGCTCTGAATGTTGATGCTCCTGTCCACCTCTGACTCCCCAGGGCAGAGAGCGCCCATTGGTGGGGCTCTGACCAGTGTCACCCCCTTGTCTGGCTGGCTTTGCCAACCCAGTGTCATTTCTGATTTGGGATTTTACTTTTTATCAGTTAGTCACACAGAGAACTCGGTCAGTGGACTACTCCTGAGAGGACTGTGTGGAGAACAGCAGTGCCCAGTCCCTCATCATCATCGCGCTGCTCCCAGAGGTGGCTGTTTTCCATTTCCTGATAGTTACACCTGTCTCCTAAATCATGGGCTTCCACTGCTCGTTCTGGAGTCATCTGTTTTGGACGCTGTGTTTATTATGTTGTGTGGCTGCATTACCTGATCGGGTCCGTCGTTGTCCGTGCTCACATTCTGATGACCACACGACTGTAATGGCCAGTGGAGCCGGGTGTACAGTTGTATTACGTATTTTCTTTCTGAGGCAACTCATATTTCCCTTAAAAAAACAACAACAAGTTTTGTTTTGTTTCGTTCTGTTTTGTTTTCATTTGCTTAGCCTTCCGTGTACCTGCCAGCAGTCATCTTCCAAACTTCCCAACAGAATTTTTAGTGATCTCCTCAGTGTGATCAAACCCATCAGGTTCATTGCTGTGGAGAAGGGGTGTTCAAACATTCACATGCATCAGAAGCACCTAGGAGGCTCATTAAGGTAGACTCAGTCCCATCCCCAGAGTTTCTGACCCACTGGGTGAGGAGCCCGACCGAGAATTAGCATTTCTCCCAAGATGCTTCTGGTCTGGAGACAGCACATTGA